TTCCCTCCTGCGACTATCGGTTTTAAGCTCATCATTGCAACTACAGCACGCACGCGCACGTGTTCTGTTGATTCGACTAAAAACGAAACTAGGGCAGTAGATTAAAGGGCACCGACGGCAATTACACAAAAGGGCAAGGCAGGTGACTGCCGTCGGTCGAGTTGGATTTTCAGGGGCAGTACGGCAATTGATAGGGGCACCGACGGCAATTGCCGTCGGTGCCGTCGGTTAATTCGAGCCCCGATTGGTCCTGTGTGCCAAATTTCATGACAATCGGGTCAAAACTGCAGAAGTTACAGGTTCTAGAATATTTCGACAAAAAATGTCGTTACCATGGCAACGATGACTCCGCCCACACCAAAAACGATTGGCGTCTTCGCTTTACGATAACGCACCTTCATGCAAAATTTGAAGACATTTCGAGAAGAACTGCAGCCGGTAGAGCGCTCACAAGGAAATCTCTGCGGCGGCGGGGGGCGACGAGGCCAAATCCATAGTATCCCCCCGAACTCGTTTGGGGGATACAATTACCCCCCGGACAACTACCCCCCCGGAAAACTACCACCTGGACAATTACCCCCTTAGGACAACTACCCCCTGGACAACTACCACCCAGACAATTACCCCCTAGAACAACTACCCCCAGAACAATTACCCCCTGGGACAACTACCACCCGGACAACTACCCCCCGGACAATTACCTCCCAGACAATTACCCCCCTAGGACTACCCCCTGGACAACTACCACCTGGACAATTACCCCCTTAGGACAACTACCCCTTGGACAACTACCTCCCGGATAATTACCCCCTATGACAACTACCACCAGGACAACTACCACCCGGACAACTGCCACCCGGACAATTACACCCATAGGACAATTACCACCCGGGCAATCACCACACAGACAATTACCACCACGACAATTACTAAAGAGGCAAGTACCACCCGGACAATTACCATTACGGACAATCACTAACCAAATTTTCATTTATTTCCAATTGAAACAATAATTTTTGAATATTGAAGGGTCATTTTGGGAGACAATTGGAAATTCGTGAAATTTCTCACTAGAGGAAGATCTATTTAAGAATATCTAAAAAGAAATTGAGAAGTTTATGAAAACTTGAAGTACATCATTAATCCATTATAGCAACTTTTTTTTCTTTAGTTAACTTTTCTGGCTTTCAATCATGAAGTTGGTATAAAACTTTTTAAAAGAAAAATGTAAAAATCTGCCCTCCTGGTAGTAACAGTATGGTGGGTAAGTGTAAATGGGTAACGGTCCTGAAAGGGTAATCATGAAGTTGGTATAAAAGTCCAATGTGTAGTGTAGATCGGCCATCATTACTGTATGGGGGAGGGTAATTGTCCGTGTGGTAGTTGTGCGGGTGGTAATTGTCTGGGTGGTAGTTGTGCGGGTGGTAATTGTGCAGGTGGTAGTTGTCCGGATGCGATTGTACAGTGTTCCCTGCATTTATGCACCCCATTTCCCACATCGAGTAGAACAGGCTGGCCCTCTGAAAACACTACAATACACCTGGTTTCCCAAAGATGTATCAGGATGACCAAATCTTAAGACAATGACTAAGCATTCAATTGCACTACAAAAATAATAGTAGGACTGCATAAGGGGGATTTGGTTTTAGCAAATGATAGGACTATTATGTAGGAAATCATTCACTAAATAAATAATAGCAAAACACTGTGCCACACAAACGATAGTTCGACTACATATACAGGTAATTCATCTATCCACTTCAGAGAGACAATCACGCTCCCCTTATTATTGCTAGGTATTGTTGCTAGGTTGGTCTGTACGTTTTTTAGGCATGCATGCCAATTTTTTGTGCTGATTGGTCAGAGCTACCTATCAATCATTGCAGCCGGATAGGTCAATTGCACTATATAAATATCAATAGGAATAATAGTATAGAGGCATAGGGTACCAGAGTCGGGCAAGCAGGTTAGTGGCGTCGACCCATTCGCCCCACAGGCACGCTTCTCCACCCTTCACCAGCTTCTTCTGCTGCTCCGTACCTGAAACACAGTAGCATCGCTTCTTAGCATCGTCACTCGCTCATTAGCATAAATGTTTGCTAGCATCATCTCCAATTAGTGAGGTCTCATTGGTTAGCATCGTCACTCGCTCGTTAGCGAGCTCTCACTCCATTGCACTCGTGCATAGCTTCCGAAGCTGCACGGTGGTGCCCTCTCACCGTTGAAGCGTTGGGGATCGCAAGCGTAGTACGTCTTCCAGTCGGCCGTTGTGGAGATGCCGTCCAGGTACCAGCAGGACGACAGCAGGGCGTCGTGCCCGGCCGCTGTGACGGCGGCTAGCTCGCGCTGGTAGCCACCCTTCCACACATGCACAATTGTGTCCCCTCCCACCTACAGCAATAGATCCAGAATAAGTAAGGGGATAATCCCCTTAATTATCTTGGATCTATCCCTAGATCTACGGGATAGATATATATATTGTTAGTATATAATATGGAAAGATAGAAGATTATTACATGAATAAATAATAGCCGCCCTTCCACACGTGCACTATCATCTTCCCTCTCACCTACAGCGATAGATGCAGTGATAGATCCAGGATTAGTAAGGGGATATATATATATATATATATATATATATATATATATATATATATTAGTATATAATAATATAGTAGTATATAGTAATAATATAGTAGTAGGTAGTATATATATAGAAGTAGTA